GAGAATCTGAAATGTTTCCCATGGCAGGCGGGATTGGCCGTGTTGTTCTGGGAAGAACCCACATGCAGGACCCGGAGGTGGGACCCTGTGCTGATGACCCGGTGGGTCCCCTAGTCTCTGTGTCACTGCTTCCAAATCATTCTGATGCCTGAAGCACCCGGCTTCTCCCAGGCAAAACCCACCTCTGCAAGGCAGTGGCGACGCCTATAGTCCCAGCAGCTAGGGAGGCTGAGGCAGGAGGATTGGGAGTTCAAATCCAGCCTCAGCAACTTAGCCAGGCCCTACGCAACTTGGCAAGACCCTGTCTCAAACTAAAAAATAAGAAGGGCTGGGGGTGTGGCTCCGTGGTAAATCACCCCTGGTTCAATCCTTGGTACCAAAAATAATAATAATAATAACCCACCTGTGTGTCTCCTATACACCTTCCCGGCCCATTCTGTCCCTTGGCTCCTCTGGCCCCAGGAGCCCTGCCCACCTGCTCAGCCAGTCTCCTGCCATCTCCACGGCAGGCACTGGCCATGCGGATGCCATCAAGCCCCGGGGCTCCTCTCCACTCCTCCTGCCCTGGCCTTAGCCCTGGCTTCTGCCTCACCTGGGCCTGGGCCTCTGTTGTCCCTTGTGTGGGTCTCTGAGGTGGCCTGGGGTCTCTGAGGGTCATAACACAGAGTGGAGTGTGGTCCGGGCACCAGTGGCCGGGGCCTTTCTCCTCCCCCAGCTCAGCACTGGGCACCGCCAGGGAATGGGCTGGGAGCCAGGGTGCTCAGGTCTCTAAGCCTCAGCTGTCACCATACCCGCCTGTTTGTTTGCTGGGGCACTTGGGTGCTGCCCGAAAGGCTGGCTTGGTGCCTCCAGTGGGGGCTGGGGAGCAGAGCAGGGCCCCCTGCCCTCGTTTGTCCTGGCAGAGCCAGGCCCAGCCTGGGCGAGGCCAGGAGTGGAGCAGGTGCCAACTCACTCTCCCTCTGGCAGGCCACAGGGGTATGACAATAGTCTTTGTCCTTCCTCAAGACACCAGCCACAGCCACAAAGATCTGCACCCCCCAGCTGCCCTCGGGGTTCCCCCGCCACCAGGAGAGGCTGAGCAATCTAGACCAGCACCGTCCAAAAGAAATGGGGCGCAGGCCACAGGGGCCATGCCGATACCATCAAGCCCTGGGGCTCCTCTCCACTGCTCCTGCCCTGGCCTCAGCCCCAGCTTCTGCCTCACCTGGGCCTGGGCCTCTGTTGTCCCTTGTGCAGGTCTCAGAGGTGGCCTGGGGTCTCTGAGGGTCATAACAAGCAGGCGCAATTAGTTTTTACTTAATCCAATCATTTGACCCGTCTGTCCTCCATATAAAGGTCGCTATTGAGATACTTTAGGTCCTTCCGTGCTGTTTTTGAAGTACAGTGGGGGTATTAGCTGACGGCACTTCTCAGTGTGGACCCGTCGCGTTGCGAGCGCTCAGCAGCCACGTGTCCAGGTGGCCACTGCCCTGGACAGCACCCCTCAGGAGCAGCATATCTCCGTCTCAGCCTGTGGGGCTGAATAAGCCTCTGTCCAGGGGGCTGTCCTGCACATGGTAGGACATTTAGTGACATCCCTGGCCTGTACTCACCAGAGGACAATAGCAACCTCCTAATCGTGACACCCAAGGTGTCCCCAATCAAGGCCAGCCGTCCCCTGGCAGGGGGCAGAATCACTGCCAGCCGGAGTCCCAGTCTAGCTGGAGGGAGCCTCTGTGGCTCCTAGGGCTGGACTGTCACCCTGCTGTGGTGTCTGATGCCTGCGGTGACAGGAGACCCTGTGCTAAGGAACCAGCTGGCCATCTCTCTCCACCCCCGGGGTCTGGCAGGTTGTCCTTTGATTGTCCCACTGTGTAGATGAGGACAGTGAAGCTCAGAGAGACGAAGTCATTTGCCCGGTGACACACAGGACTCAGGTCCACGTCTGTCTGACTCAGACGCACGCTCTCGTCCTCCTCTCCATCCTGTGTGACGCTGACGTAACCAGCAGGCGGAACCAGATGACCCCGTCAACTGTGTGGCTTCCACCTTCCTCCTGGCCCTGAGCCCCCCACCCCACCCCGGCGACTTCGCCCACTGCGTTGGGCCTCCGCTTCCCACCGAGTCCTCCCCAGCCAAACCCGGGTGCTGGCCCAAGCCCCCAGGGCCTCCAGGTAGACC